TTTTTTTGTAACATGTGTTACATGTTAAGCAACTTAATGATGGTATAGCAATTATTTTGATTCATTTCAACTTGCACATGTTTATTTCTATAACCCATACTGATGTTGTCTATCATTTCATTCGTTGAGGACAGTGGCAAGTGAAGTCCATTATTCCAGACTTACAGGAAAATAAAAAGGAAGCTCTGAATTTAGCATTACATTTAACATACATATCAGATGTTAAATCCTACTTTTATTTACACTGTCTCAGTTTCAGAAGTTTTATCTATCCACAAAATGTAAAACATTTGGTTCCTGATGTATACTAAGGAAGATGTTCTAAAGATGTGGATATGATATGCTAAGAGCTTTCATGTAAACATGCTCTTCTCCTTTATGAAGAATGCACTCTAAGTTATAAACTAACAGTCAAACTTATGCAAGACAATGGAGGGAGACATTCATGCAAAGCAGAAATCACAGTTCATGTTAAAATTGTAGGGATAAGTGTTACAGTGCTTTAAAAATAATGTCTTCAAAGCAGTTGACTGAGCCAAAGTTACATGGGAAAAAAGCAAATACTGATAAATTTCATGGTTAACATGTGAGAAGCGATTTATGGGTCATGCATATTATATAGTATTTTACTAAGCAAATTAAATAACGAATAATACAAGAAATCACTGAAGGTTTAAATGGCTAATGGCTTGCACAAAACAAATATGTCAATTTCTTTGATAAAGAAGCACTTTACTGAGTATTATTTTCCTAAATGTGTGTAATATAACATATTGATGTATAACAGGGTAAATATGCATAGTAGTAGCTTTTCTTAAATCTAAACTTCAGTTTTATGTATTTTAATGGCTAAACAGCAAATATAGAGATGTGTCACTGGTTTCTTAGCTGAAATTTGCATTACAATTTGCTCCTTATAGTCTGCTTCCACTTCCAGTTAAATTTTCACTTTTCATTCTCTGTGGATTCCGGGAAATGAAAGTAAGCACTGGACTGCATTTCCCCTGGAAGAAAAACACACACAGGAAAAAACCCAACCAATGAACACACATACCTCCCAGTACAAACAAAAACAAACAAACAAACAAACAAAAACAACAAACCTATAGATTATTCATTGCAAATATACATATATATTTCTTTTGCAGTTATTTTGGAGAATAATAACTTGTAAAGATGCTAACAGTTAACATAAGGTCTCTTATTCACGATAGCCATCAAAGGAGTCATTCACATTAGTTTAGTTTGTTTTTCCACAGTGCAGCTAATATCTGTAGCTGTCTTCTAATATGGGGGGGGGGAAGCTGAGTTTGTCTAGACTGTAACACATAGAATGACAGATAGGGGTCCATTGAGCACTTCACAGTGTCCATAGTTTTAACTGACACAGCTTGGGACAAAATACAAAATAAAAGGCATAGACAGTAGATTGCCAGAACCTGAGATTGAGTCCTTTGTGATCAAGAACATAAAACTGCCTAAGATGTCATAGTTGTAGGATAAGTAATGAGGAAACACTAAATGATGGCTTTCCTGGGGAGTCCATCAGAACAGGAGCCTTTGCTAGCCACAGTTAATTACCTTGGGAGGATAATGTCTCTATCCAGTGGCTATACAGGACCATACAGATTTTGTCCTCATTAATCTAGTTATCATTTATGAATAAGCTTACCTCATTCCTATACTGTGAACTCATTACAGTAAGAGATATTTCACAGTGCTATAGGTGGGCTATAGCCATGGCTTTGTGCACACTGATTTGAATATTTCTCAATAAGAAACTTTAGTATTTATGATTATTTGAGCAAATTTAATATTTACAAAAACTATGCATGGAAGATTCAGCTAAATTAATATTTTTTTGCAAAAATTATAAACAGTAAGATAAAAGATATTTACACTATAGTGGTATCCTTGTTCACTTCACTACGTCATTGTCATATTAATGATATCCTTCAACAAAAAAAGTAGTCAGGTTTTGTCAAAACAACAATTTCTAAGACTTCAGTGTCCACGTCTTCAATGTTAGTTCTAACAAAAGACATTTTTCTGAAAAGAAGAAATATATAAAAGCATGAGTGGTTATGAGATAGATATTAGTAAAAAATTAGGTATTGGTAAAATATTTCAAATTGCTATAACACAGGAAGATTTCTTCTAAAAAAGTAGAGTCTTAAGATGGATGAGTTGAAAAAATAATACCCAAAGGTCACTGAGAATGAAAACAAATTATCTGGTTTGTAAGCATGGGATATCATGACAGTATGGTACTTGCCATCAGGTCAACAGCAAAAATATGAGTACGATGGTGCTACAAAACTTTGAGTAAGAGATCTGTTTCTTAGATAGTTTTCCAGAGTTGCGTATCAAGAATACTGCATGCAAAGCACACACACAACAAGAATATGTCAGGAAAAAATTAAAATTCACTGAGAGGAAAGGACTTTATTCTAATTTATATAAGTGGATCCTCTTAGCCACCTCCCCCTTCTTACACTCTATTAGTTTAAAAATTAAAGAACAAAAGGTTACAAGGAAAGTACCAGCTAATTAGCAATTCACAGTGCTCTGCATTTGTTCACTATTTTAGTCTCACCAGAGCAGAATATTTTCATTTTAGTAAAATATAAGCAGCAAGAAAAGGTTATGCTTTATGCATTTGCATAATATATGCATACTAAAGTTTTCATGGTGGCACACTTAATTGATTCAGCTGTACTAATGACGGTTTAATTTTTACATTCACAGTAGAGCCGCCACTAATCTTTTTGCCTCATAGCTGAGAACTAAAGCATTTAGTTCACTCCGAATGTTGGAAAAAATCTGATTGCATATGTACGTATAAAATAATTGGCTTATTTGAATGCTAATTGCCTTTAGGATTCTTGCTTCTCTAAAGATAGAAATCCAACCTTGGCTATGAATCGGTAATAAAGTAACTGGAATGTGGCTGTGAGTATAAACAAAGACATCAGTGAAAAAAACAAAAGCCATTAAAAGCTGACAGGATGTGGGAGGCCAGAGAACAAAATAGATTCAGCTAATATCACATTTGCTTTATGGTCTGAAATGGGTAATAACAGGAATATAGTTACTAATACACTGGGATCCTGGTCTTCTGATATCTTCAAAGATCAGGAGCCACTGGTATAAACACATGAAAGCGTGATAAATGGGTATCTTACTGTGTCTTGAGTTTAAAAGATGAATGTGTTCTCTTGTCTTTTCTCTCATTTCTCATCTGTAAACTGCTAGAACTGCAGTTTGGTCCTTTTTATATGTCTTATATTTAAGCTCAAGAAAGGACAATTCATTCAGCAGTCAGGATACCGGATGGTTTCTTGTTGAGAAGAGATCTGAGGTTATGCCTTTTATGCTGATGAACCTCAGTTTATTGTGTAAAATTTCCACTGTTTACAAAGAACATAGTTATTGCAGCAGACAGTGTCTCACAATCAGAAAGCACTATCCAAATCCATGGAGAACTTGGAGAAAAGACAACAGAACTCCTGAAACTGGATTCCCTTGTTTGTTGCCCAGAGGGGATGGAGAATCATTGCTGCAGGATGACTACTGTGAGTTCTGCAGCTAGATGAGTGTATCCCTGATTTCTTTTTTCTGGATTTCATGGTGTAAGTTTTCTGATTGTGGATGGATAAGGGAAAACATTTACCACTAAATATATCCAACAGTACTAAAAATTCAGAAACCCCTAGTTTAAAAGAGTAAGAAAAGTAAATGCCACTAGCAAAATATGAAAGCTTAAAAAACCCTTTTAAATAAACAGAGACAATGCTTAGAACTAATGTGTTGGGGTTTTTGATACATTATGAGTTTTACCTAGTTCTAAATTAATAATAAAGTAATCTCCTCTCTGTCAGAAGAGATTAAGCTGGCTCAGAAAAGCAGAGGGGACAGAGAAAGCTGCATAACTCTGAAGGTGTTTGCACCTGGAATATCATCAGCAGAAGCAATACAACTTCAGGAAGGCACTGAGTGCTTCCCTTGCTACTGTTTCCTCACCAGACTGTTGGTAATTATTGAAATCTCTGAGAATGTGTTTTATCAGTGAATTGAGTAGTCACAAATGCTTATTTATGAATTATAAGCAAAACCAATGAAAAAAATTACAAGAAAATTTATGTTCAAGACTTCAATCTGCACAAAAAATATTTGTGTGTCAAATACGAACATTTTAGGATTAATTTATTCAGTTATACTTTGGGAAGGCTTAAAGGTAGGAGAGGGAAAGCAAGTAACACCAGAACCTAAAACAATTTTGGCTTGGAATGCTTTAAGTCAGTAAAAAGCAAGAGAAAAATCACTGCTATAGTAAATTGTCTCGGACAGACACTTAACAAGCTCAGGTCACTTCACAGGTACTGTCTAAGCTATCTGTTTGTCTGGATGCTTTCTCTCAGCCTCTCTTTTTGGACTAAATATCTTTTAAAGTACTAGATTAAATAATTTTTGACACACGTATTTGAAATTAATTGTGCTAACTATAATCACATAGCATAGTATGCAGTCTCCCTTCTTCCATCTGTAGTGCTCATGTCATTAACCTCAATAAAAATGACTGCAGGAGAGCATTTTATAAGCTTCCAATTAATTTTATTCTGGAATAGCAAACAATTTTACATTCCAAAGATTTGTGAAATAGAAGTATTATACATAGCAATACAATCCATACCAATAGCCATACCAATACATAACAATAGCTACAGAGAGGGAAAAGGATGTAATGTTTTTACTGTTAGTCTATATGGACTTATATCTCTTCTGGCAAGTGCATGAGCTAGTTACAGGAAGCAATGAATAGCAGATTAGATTGTCTCAGTGATAGGTGGGGACATTGATCCATGGTCCCAGGCATTGCACCCTCCCTCAGTCATTTGTTGGCTGCTGGGTACAGCCACAGCAATGGGCAGCTCCTCTACTCTTCTGTGCCATAACTTCAATATTCTTAGTCACAAGGAGTGAACAAAGACACTGCATAGCTGGGTCTGCAGTGTGAAACCTAAAGCATGGCACTAGAAGAAAGGCACTAGGAGAGATTCAGTTTTCACAAGATAGCAAGTATTGCACTTCTGGATCACTTTTTTTCATTTCAAATACATCTAAATGTGTCCTTGACATTGTAAGAGTGACTTTATAGCTACCGATTACTAATAACATTGCTTGGTTTTTCAGTTAGAATTGATAAAACTAGGTACTTTGGGGAAAGTATGAACCTTATGAAACTTCATGAAATGAAACCTCCCTCCTTGGCCAGAGGCACTTTACAGCCTTAAAGACTCATGAGAATTTTCTCTGCTACATTTGTTACTGAGAACTGGAACAAACTATTCTGAGTATCAGGATAAACTGGCTATACTGGAAGACAGACTTCAATCCACTTAGTTAAAATGTTCTGGCACTTTAAGAGAATGTCTGACCACTTTGCCTTCAACTATGGTTTCATCTAATTACCAGGAGGCAACCTTTTTGCAGGCAGTCAAATAAAACAAGGTTCGTGCTTTGGCAATAAAACAGCACACTGTCTTGGATGAACTGTAGGTACTTCTGCTCACAGTAGTTTTTCCTAATGCTCTGGAAGTCAGAAGAATACCTAAAGTATGTGGGTGATTCTAAAGTACTTAGAAGCAGGGATTCTAAGCAATTCAAAATATTAATTGTTTAAATTAAGAGCTGAATAAAAAATTAATAAAGCCAGTGGGAGTTTCCTCAAATCAAATTAACAAAGTTTTAATTAGTTCCTAATTTAGTCTCTTTGAACAAATAGTGGGGTTTTTCCTTATTATTTTTTCCCGTTTCTTCCAAATTACTATTTTTCTTATCCACACAAAAGACAAGAATAAGATAATGCAGCATACTTACTATTCATCAGAAAGGAGAAAAATGTTACAGCTCTATTTGAAATTTTGTTTTCATTGCAAATTATGAGAGCTTGTTCCTTTTATATATCCTCGGGAAAACCGGTGTATTTCACAATAACATTTATTATTAGAAAGCTTATCAGGGATTTATAATTTGTGACAAAATACTTCTAAAAAGCATCTCAATAGATGGCAACTTTGCAGTGCTAAAGAACTTTGCTCATTAAAGAAATTGATTTCCAGCAAAATGTCTTAGGATAATTTAAAAAAAAAAAATAATTTAGTTCTCCTAATAAATAGTCAGTGTTTTTGAATGCCTGGAAAATTTGCTGTGGTACCCACAAAAAGTATCTCCTTTGTTCCTTTGGTAATAATGCTAAAATATTGGACACTTCCTCCAAGGGTAACAGTCCAATACCAGCCCTGTCTTTTCAGCTGGACACATGGGTGGCAAGGCCTTACCTTTCTCTGGAGGGTGATGGAAGAGCTGTTGAAGCCAGTCCTCCAGCAACTCATTCCATGCCACACACTGCAACCTTGGAGGGCTCTATATCCAGGAGAATATGAGGAAGGTACAGAAGGGCTTAAATCCCTTTTTCTGTTTGGGGAAAACACCCAGCACTGTGAGGGAGGCAGATGAGGGCACATTGCTTACATATACTTCTGATTCATGTGTTTTAAGTTGGTGAGAACTTTGGAGTGATTTAGGTTAGAATTTCTTGACTTTAGCCCACATGCCACTTACATGGACTTGGTTGTTTGGATCAACATTTTATCCTACAGGAATAAGAATCCCCTAGGTTTCCTATTCCCTTGCTTCAAATGACTCAGCAAGAAAAAAAGCACAATACTACATAACTCATTGGTCATGAGTACTTTGTGCTACTGTAACTGAAGTACATCTGCCCTCACAGATAAAACAGGCTTCACAAATTCAATTTTGATGTCACTTGTTCTCTTTAATGTTACCTCCTCTACATATTAATATCATTCTCTGGTAGTGATTCCAATTACACATTTAAAAGGTGACCTGTAAAAAGAGCCTGTCAGCAACTTTCATATTACTTTCAGGGTTTAAACATTCACGTGGGTTAGAACATTTAATTTCATTTGGTTTCTGACTTCTAGCAACCACCTCTTTCTCCAAAGACAGATGAGCAAGTCCAACTGTTTACTCATTCATGTGGGCTGACAAGTGGGCCTATGGAGCCCTGTCTTCAAAAGGCACCTTCAGGAAGGTGTAGTGCTGAGCACAAATGATACCTACATAAACAAGACTACCCTTGTGGTAAGGGTGTTCTCCAGCTGTAATATATTGCCGCTTGCTTCAACAATCTTTTCTAAACCAGGGAACAAGTTTTGATGATTAAATTTTTATTCCTCTAATTTTGACCCAGCTGTAAAAAAACATAATAAACTGTTCTTCCTTAATGACTGCTGGGATTGCCTAATAAATCTAATGGTTAAATGAAGAGTTTTCCCTGGATCATCCTTACAACTCTTTCCTGAAGCAAATCACAGACCGTTTTAATTGGAGATGGAGACAAGAAAACAAGGCTAAAAACTCAAGAAAAACTAGAGTAATAAAATTAGGATGCATGGGAATGTAGATGTTAGCTGGAATATAAACATTTTTGAAAGTACATAAAGTATGCTATAGAGCATAGGAAAAGGACGCCTAAGATGATGGCAACAATGTTACCTTCAAAATTCAAAAACTCAGGAGTTTAGATTCAGTGTTTACCTTATAGTTAAACATCTGTGACCATCATTATGTATTCAAAACTGGAATTGTTGAATTGATGCATAAGGATTCAGAAAATAAAATAAAATAAAAAAATATTCTGTAGAAGGAAAAGGGGATCAGTTCTCAAAATTCATCATATTCTGGAGTTTTTTGGACATATATTCCTCTCTCTACTATATACATACAAAAATGAAATAGAGATCACTGCCTTCTATGCCATCTATTCAAAGTAGCTCTTGCTGTTACATGGTACCAAGAGATTCCTGTCAAAAAAAAAACAAAACCAAAAACAAGACAAAAAAAAAAAGCCCCCAAACAAACAAAAACATTTTGAAAGGATAGATAATTCAGCCAGTAAAGCTCTTGCAAATGGGTGTCTCTATTGTGTGTCACTGTATGAAACCATGTGCTGGATTAAGAACCAAGAATCTGCATTTTATTGTTAATCGCTTTTATTGTTAAAAAAACTTTTGGCTTTTATCATGAATATTTATGTCTCACTTTATAAACACACTCAAATGCTGCCTACCTGACTTGGTAATGAAGTAGACTCTGTTTTCTTCCCTGAAATGTCCTTTCTGCTTTTTACTGCATGAGCTGTAACTCTTCAAAATCCAGTTTAAAGTTCAGACAGTATCTACCAAACATGCTTCAAATAACAGTAATTTCACTGTAATTAGGGAGTTTTATAAGAAGTTGCTTGTGTTAAACCTGATATGCAATCAAACACTGTTCAGCCTCCCTTCTGTTCTCTAACTTCCTTGATTTAAATAGGAGATATCCATCAAATATGAGACAATCCATCAGATCAGAGACCAGATAAAACATTCGGCTGCCTCCACCAAAAGCTATATTGTAAGAGCAACCGATTACACAGAAAAATTTCAGATTAAAATCTTGGGTGTTAAACAGGCTTCTGTATGGTATCTCTTAGCCTGAATAATCTCAGACCAAAAAATTTTTCACCTGAGGTCAATGAAAATGCAAATATTTTTCTCATACTTGGTACCTTTATATACTGCAGTTCTAGTAATCTATATTTGGAAAAAAAAGCCTGAAAAACTGCCTAGTTTAAAAGATGCAGATCTTTAGAATTTTAAAAATCTTACTATTGCCAGATTTGACACAAAGCATATGATCCTGTGTGAGGAAAAAAAATAAATAAAAATAAACACATTAAATAGATAAATCCCCTTAGCACGAACATGTAATATTATTAAGAATGGTTTTGCATTTCCTTGGCTACACAAAGGCATATGGCAAGAACATAAGATACAGTTTCCTAAGTGCTATATATTAAACGCATTTTTTAATTAGCTCTAATGCAACCAATGGTTTTGGATATTATTAACACTGTATAAATAGGTTTTCCTCAGAATCTATTATTTATATGTTCAGCAAGGACAGTCTGCTTTTAATGCTACTTCAGAACCTCATAAATATTGAAATTATGCAGTTGAAATCATAAACAAATTTAGTATTTTAATCACAGAAGATACCTGTTTTAATGAAGTTCACCAGAGCTTATTGCGCAGACAATATATGCATTTGAAAATGTTTTTCTCCTAGCTGGTACAGAGCAATATTTTAATATGAAATTTGCCTTTAAATCACTTTTATTCTTCCCAGCATTGAATTACTGAGCAGAAATCCACCTACTTCCTTCCTTCCAATAACTTACACTTATGATTTGATATTGGATTTTCCTTCTGAAAACTGCATACAGCACTAATAATACCTTTGAGTAGCCTAATAAAAGTTGTAGTAAAGCTGAAAAGTGAAACATAGTTTTGGACATGCTAAGTGCTACCCATTTATGAGAAACAAGCATTCATGAGCAACTGATCTAATCCATTATGATTTTACTCAGCTGAGACAAAGACAAGCTTCTCAGGATCTTGATTCTTTTTCCTCAGTCTGAAAATATTCAAATTTTCACCTCTCACTTCTGGGGAGAAATATAGAAACTGGAATGTTAAGGAAGGGGAAGGAAAAAGGGAGACACTCTCTCATTTCTAATAAGCAGTAACAGACCAAGATAGGAGCTGTAGCATTTGACCGTGGCTCCAAGGATCATATAATGTGTTGGGCCATTAAAGCTGTTCATTAAGCAGTCACCTCACAAAATAGCTTTCCTTTAGCAAATTTTCAGCTAGCCTAGCCACATGGGTTAGGTACAGCTTAGATATAAAGGAGAAGCCGAGGAGGACCCTGAACCTATTTTTTTTATGCTGCTATTTAGCGTAGCAATTGATGAATTAATGAACATGGCAATTCCACAGTACTGAGCACACCTTCAAGGTAGGCCCCTAAATGCTGGGAAATAATGGCATGCCTCATCTGAAGACCTTTAGAGATCTTTGCACCTCCACTTGCCAGGATGTTGGCTGCTTGACAGGGATTGGAAAACTCTCCTCGGGAAAACAGCATTTAGAGTGTTAGGCAGGACCATGAGAATCATGGTAAAGCTCTGGTGCCTGCATGCCAGATTCATCTAAGTCAGCTGGATCTAAGCATTTCTCTACCCAAATACCTCACTGATATTTCATTTTCTTATTAGCTGTTATACAAGCACCGAATTCAACTTTAAATGATATTGAAACAGCTGTTGTTTTCTAGCAACTTTTTCTTAACATACTCTACCTGCTTAATAACTGTTGGTAACCAACAGTCACTTTGGACTTGGTTGTTCGGATCAACATTTTATCCTACAGGAATAAGAATCCCCCAGGTTTCTTGTTCCCTTGCTTCAAATGACTCAGCAAGAAAAACACAATTTTTTGTTTGTCCAAAGACCCATATGCTGACACAGCTTTCAATAGCTCCACAGTGTATTTGTTTGGCAGAAAGGAGGGAATAAACACATTATGCTCTTAATTTCTCTCTTCCAATATCTTCAGTTTCATACCAGTGGGACCAAATCTCTGCCTTTGCGTGTGCAAGAGCAAGTGTTCAGCTGGGCTGCCATTTGCAGTTTTTCTATGCCTCCTTCATAGAGGTGGGTGATAATGACTAAGGGAATGAGGATCAGATGTCTGTGGTGTCACTACAGCATTCAAAGGAATGAACTCAGTGGCACATCTGAGCTGGTACTAAAAATTTCTCACCCAAAAACCACATTAGAAAGGTAGTGAGTGTAGGCTTGAACAGAGCGGTTGTGCTCTGCTCATAATTTCATTCAAGGAATAAGCCTAGATGCCTAAATGTGATGCTAATTTAAAATCTTAGAGGCAGCACTTATTTTTCTCGAAGTCTAGCTCTGTTATTTGGTTTTCTCTCCATAATCACTTCTCTTACTGTGTGGCAAGGCCTATCAAACTGATTACTCTCTGACAGCAGAGTGACGACTTGGCAGTCAGGCAGCCACAAGCGGTCAGCTGGCTCTTTTGTCACTCCTGGCATCTGACTGAAAGCTGTTCAGGCTCTAGGTTTCGATGAGATTTCAGGAAGGTGCAGAATCCAAGCCTGACACATTCAGTATGCTACTCCTCATCCAAAATAGACAGAACAGGACCTCTGTGCTAAAGCACTGTTTCGAGGGAATAATTTATTTGCCAGCTGTGAAACTCTGTCTCTATGGAAAGGAAGTGGGTGCCAGGTTGTAACTTAGCACAGCTATTTTTCCTTCTGTTCAAAAATCAGAGGTAAATATGTGGAAGAACCAACAGCCTGGTGTTATTTTATTTTAGAAGGTTTTCTAACGACAAAGACAGTGGAATTTGGTTTTTCAATTGTTTTTAAATAAAAACAAAAATCAAGGGTCAATGAGTATCCATGTCTTAATGTTTGACAAGAGGCATGTAATTTTCCATGTAGTCCATATGTGCTTACTCAGAATGTGCAGCTGATTATTCCACAGTTCTCAAAGTGTTTTCTCACTGGAGGCATGGCCCCATAGAGTCATTTTATAAGGGGAACACAAATTACCAGTCATCAAGACTGGCTTTCTGACTCCCTCTCTGCTTTTCTGGGGGGCTGATGAACCTTTCTTCTGATGCATCTGACTCATTTCACTTATTAGTGTGAGATGATTTTATTTTGAATAAACAGGGCAAATGGACCCTGACAACAACATTTGTCTTCTTGTTTCAGAAAGTGATTTTCTTAGTAACTTAAAGAGAGCTGGAATCCACAACTAACATAATTTTTTGTACTGTTATTTGTGAAAAGCCACCTGAAAGAAAAAAAATAAAATAAAGATTAATTTGTAAAGTTAATTTTCTTTAGCAGTTTTCCTTTTTATCAAACAAATAAAAGCCAAGAGTGTAACCATGAAATTGTTGAAAGAGGACTGAAATTACGTGTATTACATCATTGTGCAGAATATATTCAGAATAGGAACATCTGGGTCTGTAATAAATTCTGAGCAAGCTGAAGAGGTAAGATGGAGATTACTGTGTGCTGTGCAGTGAAGATAGATAGAACTTGGATACTGAGAAAGGGAAATGGAGAAAAACTGGCATTGTGGTGAGACTGAAGAGAGAATTTAATGCTTTATTAAATCATTAATAATACATTAGGTAGTAGATATGGAGTGCCAAAGCTGGACATATATCATGGCTCTGTCACCATTGGATTTCCTTCAACAACTGACAGGAGAAAAGAAGGAAGCAAGCATTAGCCAGCTCTTTGTGTCATCTGGGAAGGAGGAAAGGGTGACTGCAAGTGACCTTCCGATTCCTGGACTTAGACACACCCATTATGCTTCCTATAAAGTCTAAAAGTATAATGTTGGAAATGTTGGGATGACTATGTAGATGGTTTTTCTGGATGGCTCACTGTACTTCATGGTAG